TCAGACTCCAGGGGAAGATGAATAACATAAGTGGCCTTCTCCCCTGGAAAAAAAAAATCTAATTATATGTGTATAGATTTTTTTAAAGGTTGGCCCTGAATACTCAGAAATGTATTAAAATCATATTTACCCTCAATAGGAAAACAGAAAGGGAAGTGATACTCTGAGACAAAAGGCCAGCTCTGAAACTCCGGAGATGGCAAGAGTTACAAAACACAGGCACATGAGGAAAGCGTGTCCATAAAGTGCTGACAGTGTCTTTCTCATCTGTCGTCTAGGGAGGAGGGTTCAGAAGCTAGGCACCATCACCCTTGCCCTGTTCTCTTCTGAGCATCTTCTCAGTAAGTAGATGCTCCTTTTTCACCTTGCACTTAATAGAAAATCTTTTTGAACATGAGGGTGTTTTGTTGTTAGTGATGGTTATGGATTTGCTGCGCATCCATAGAACTGGAATCTAAAGATTCCAATCTAAAGAATCTAAAGAATTCAGCAGTTGCTACTACACTGTCATTACTAAAATTAATATAAACAATGATATAAGAAGGCAATATAGCATCGTACTAAGAACATGAAGCCTGGACCTTGAAACGCCTGGCTTTGAGTCCTCTGTCCATTACTACGAGCTTCTTGGCCTGGGCAAACTATTTAAGTCCCCTCAGCCTCAATACCACAGCCATACAATGGGATAAGACTACCTATTACTCAAATTCAATCTAAAGGGAGGTCTGGATTAGATGTGCAAATGTGTGTGTGAATCACACAAGCTCTCAGTAAACAGTTGTTATTAGTGTTGTCATAAATTCACAGCTATTACTGAATATTCAGGTTAAGATCATAAGGGAAATATCTTATATTCAAACTAGAATTGATTTCTAGTTCTCTACTCTGAACAAATGTGTTATATTTGCTCTATCAGAATCCCAAGCCAGTTGCATGCTTTTGCTTGTAAATATTTGCCGTGTTGTAATTTTGGGGAAAATTTAAAAAGAAAAGTCGTCTCCTAATAAAATCAAGCATGACACTCACAACCACATCTTGCTTTTAGTGTCTCCTCTGGTCTCATATGGGTCCATTTTCCTGATTTTCAAAATGTGATACAAAAGGAATGAACCGTTTTCTCCTGTTCTCATGCAAACTGTAAGTGTACTGGATACGTTTATAAGTTTTTTGATACATGCATCCTTTTAAAAACTATGACCAGAGAAACAGTTATTGATCCAGGTCAGACCTCTGAGATTTTATAAATATAGGTCCCAGAAAAGCTTAAATATTAGAGGCATAATAATATCAAGACGACATTTTGCCACGAACTTTAAAAACAAGGTTGGGTCACCTCCACACCTTAGGATACTATTAATTTCAATTTTACAGCTTAGAAAAGTTAGACCTCACTTCTACTAAGGCGGGCAGAAAAGGTCCATTAAAAACAAAAAGGATTCCTGAAGATGGACAACTGATGTTGCGTGATGCTAAAGTCTACCTCTTGATACTTGTATTTTGAGAACTGGTTTTCCTGTGTGACAGATTACACCAAAACAGAGAAGCTTAAAATAACAAATACATATGATCTTGCAGTTTCTGTGGGCAGAAATCTGGGAGCAGCTTACTGGGTAGTTCTGGCTCACGAATCACCTCTCTTGATGTTGTAGTCAAGCTGTTGAGCAGGGCTGCTGTCTCATCTGAAGGCTTGACTGGGAAAATGTCCTCTTCCAAACCCACTCCCGGGGGCCCCAGGTCCTCGCCAGCTGTTAGCAGAGAGCTCAGTTTTCTGTCTTATGAGCCTCTCCATTGTTTGCCTGAATGTCTTCATCACATGACAACTGGCTTCCCCTAGAGCAAGTGAAGAGAGAGAGAGAATATGAGCCCAGGTCTGAGGCCATAGTCTTTTATAACTGAATTTGGGAAGTGGCATATCACCCCTTCTCTATATTCTGTTGGTCACATAGACGATTCTGTACAGCGAGGGAGAGTGGGAGAGGCTGACACAAAGACATGAAGACCGGGGTGGGGGGGAGGGACTATGCAGGCCAGTTAGGGGCTGGCTACCACAATTCCCACAGCTGGGAACAGCTTAAAGGCCCTCATCTGCCTTTAAGCTGTGAGTTTTCTCTGGCTGAAAGAAGACAGGCCTCATAGATGTGGGAGGGTCTTGGTTAGAGCAAAACCTAATGGAACGATTTATTCATGGGCACTTAAATGTGAGGCCATTCCTGAAGGTGTGTGTTGTACTTCTATTTCTGTGGAGAAAACATGTTTTTCCTGTGTCTTTCCTGCAGGGTTGAAAAAAATCTTGACAAATCGTGATTTCTTTCCAAAGGAAGCTTTTCTTTTATTCCAGGTCTTTTCTACCTGGAATGAGGTGGGGAAAGGTGATTTAGAAAATTCTACTTTCACTTGGAATTTAGAAAATTCCAAAAATGTTCAGTCTGTGAACAAATCTAGTCAGGGGCTAAACTGTTAAGAAAAGTAGCTTGGATTCATAGAATTCTAAAGCTGGAAGCTACTTAGAGCCATGTGTTTGCTTCACAGATGATGAAAGGGGGGCTCTGGTTAGTAACAGCCTTCCCCAGGGGACACTGAGGCAGAGGCAGAATTCCGACTGAAACCCTCTAAGGGATGGTATTTATAGTTTTTTGTTTTTTGTTTTTTTAACCAGGAAGAGCTCAAAATAGGACTTTCCAGCATTGCCCCACAGTCTTGTTTTAATTCATTCCGTAGACACAGAGGGAGGACTATCCGTGCCAAGGAGTGAGGAAATCAAGAGAGGACTTGGTTCTTGTCTTCAAGGAGCACATCTTCTGAAAGGGGAGAGGGAGGGACAGTCTGAGGTGGCATGGCTGAACGATGTGGTGAGGAGGGGGAGCCTGAGCATTTGTGGGGTAGCAGCTGGACAAGAGTGTCTGAAAGGTGATGAGTTGTCCTTCACTGAGTGAGTGGTAGGGGCTGTATACGCTGCCTCCAGCCAAGCCACTTCACTTGCTGGGTCACTGCTTCTATCGTCCAAGTCACCAAGTGGAGTAACAAACTCATAGACAGAGTATAGCTAGGGAATGTGGCCAGCGCTGCAAACATTGGCCTTTGATGATAACGTATGCATTTGAGGTCTGGATCACTAACAGTTCTTAACATCAAATCTGACAGTTCTCAAACTTTTGCTCTTCACGTATATTCATCCACTGGGCAGGTCATTGATGTCCACCACGTGTCAGGCACTGTGCTAGACTGGAAGCAGAGTAGTAAATAGGCCACATGAGTCCCCAAGCAGGTTTCGTGAAGCTCGTTGCCTCTTCCTCCCCTTCACTCTACAGAAATTGTCACCACCCCCTTTTGCATCACTGGCAGCTTTATTTTTTCAATTCTTGCTGACAAGATTGTGCCTCTTGCCACAAGGAAGTACAGCTTCCAAAGTAAATCAAAAGATCTCTGGTTTCTACGGGTGGGAAAAAAAATCATGAAAATATTCGGTGGTGTCATGGCGGGTCCAGTAAAGACGCCATTCATTAACGACACCCATTCTGGGCTTTGTTTCCTTAACACCGAATGCACAGGGGACATAGTCAACCCAGTGGTGTCCCCAGAAAGGACTCTCCTTGGCAGCGTTTGTGACAAGTACGTTTTCTTTTTTCTCTGGGTCCTAAGGAGCTAACCTCAGAGGGAAGGCTGGGTCACCTACGGGAAGAAACAGCTACTCGTTTGTGTGCGTGGTTCATTGGAACATTTAGGTTTCCCAGGACTAGCTCGTTAATGGTTGAACGAACTAGACGCCAATCAGGAGCAAACCATTTGTTTTCCATGAATACTTCCACTTCTTGTGACCTAGAGCCTTCCCTCAAATCCCATCTATTTAGGGGGAATTCAGGGACAATGGATTAATGGCATTAATATTTCCCCCTTCACCTCCTGGAGAGCTCCCATTTTTCAGAAGAAGGTGACATCAGTGTGAAACTCACCCTTCTTAAGCCTTCAGAAACATGTCTCCTTATTTAAAGATTAGATTCTCCTTCTGCTATTGTTTTCCATTAGATTTTGTTTCCTTTCTCCTTTTTGGGGAAGGCCAGCTCACTATTTTGAAAAGGTGATGGACCATGTCAGGATTTAGAAAGTGAAAGGAACGAGATTGGTTTGGATTTTCTCACTCTCTTTGTGTGCGCTAAAGCTCAATAAACTTCCAATGGTGACTGCAGGTATAGGGGTAGAGGAAAGCTTTTGTATCCTTAGAAAACCTAGGTTTCAGTTGGATTATAGAGGTAGTCAAGAGATAGGGAAAAAAGTTCAAATAGCACTTTGACTACTTTCCATGTCAATGGATATGTATCAGCCTTATTCCATTGCTATAAGAATCAGCATGGTTAAGTATTGATAAAAATTTTTTAAAGGACACAATACACGTTATCAAAAAATTGGATGAGTTTGTTGTAATGAAGACAGGCCTGTATGTAGTTTATATTCAAGTTTATGGATTTTTCTGAATACTGAATAAATTGTCAAAATGGTACTAAAACTCTTATGTAAAAGAATCGGTCCAAACTGTTAATCTGCTTGATACATCTTTTTGTGGTTTTTTTAAAAGACTCTAAGCAAAAATTTGAAGCTCGTTCCAGCACGGCTACATAGATTCACTGGGATTCAACTATATTCATTTATTGTGTGGATCTAATGTCACCTTTCTCTAGAGCGACTTACAAAATACCACAGCATATAGCATATCTAGAGCAAGCAGTAAAACCGAGATGTGCAATTCTCATTGCAGATTCTTATAAAGGATGGTATTTCCTTATTCTGCGCTTTGGATCTGACCCTCAGCAACAGTCCTTGGTCAGTACCAGTCAGCATGGACAGATCCCCAGATGTTTCCCCCAGTGAATGAATATCTGCTACAAGCAAGCGCAGAGTTGCCTGTGGCCACTCGAGGGTTAAAACACTAATTTATTAAAATTTTCCAATCTTTACCACCTACTCCTTGGGAGAAGGGGATTTTTGTGAGGGATGAGGATCAGGGAGGCAACAAACTTGAATTCACAGCCAGCCGTGGCGCTCATTCACCTTCGTTCCAGTTATTTTGCATTCTTCATTTCTGAGGATGAGCCTACCAGAGTGTTGTACAGCTCAGAAATGCCTGAGGAAAAAAAATAAAGTTATGTGCATTAAGGATTAAAGACAGTACATCACCCGGAGTTAAGGAATGATTGAATGAGGCATGACACTATCACTTTTTGTTGTGACTGCTCTCTAATTTGGAGAAGTAAATGCTGTGTAATAATCTATTATCAGATAGCCGGTGCCGCCTGTCACTCTTTCTCTTCATGTCTTTTTATTTGTGTCCACATATGTATAAAGGGAGGATAAATTAATTAGCTGTGCATAATTACCAGATTCTCCAAACACACGCAGGCTTTACCCAGCGGAGGCAGAAGCAGCCTATACATTGCACGTAGTTGGTGTAGATGGTAGATAGTCATCACCTATTGTAAATCTATTCCCACAGCAGGATTAAGTGAATTCAAATTCAAATGATGCATCCATAATATGTTGTCTAATGTGAAGCCTTGTAAATTTCCTCATTGCAAAAATGGAGTAACGCTTTCAGTGTGGGGTATTGCACAGAACTACACTCACTACAAGATGCATTTCGACATCAAAAGATAATACAGTTAGAGAATGTGGGTTTTATATAACTTAACGTTTTTGTGATCGGGTATCTCTGCTATTTGGCTAGAGGTATTAATTTAATTGAATGTACAAGAGGACTTTCTCCCAACACCCAGAGAAGACTATTTGCATTTTTAAAAATTATCACAGCTTGTTATATAATTGCAGCCCCTGGGGCTGGATGTCTGTGACGATGCCCCCGGTTTTCTTCTCTCTACCGCTTCACTAACGATAATACAGTTTCCCTTCAAAGTTTTCCAGCGTGTTGCATTTCTAACTCCCATCTTCTTCGGAGAAGCAAGTTGGTTGGCTCATGAATACAAAACTCACAGAGAAGGTTCACTACGTATTGATCTAATTAAACATTTTTGAGTCAGGACAACAACAATAACGGGATTAATTATTGTAATTTGTGCAGCCGAAGTAGATACATAAATAGGTAATCTTTATTTTTCAGTGTCGCCAGTGGAAAATGATTTCAGACATTAGGACCTGGGAGAGCCGGGAGCTACAGCTGCTGAGAGCCCTCCCCCTGGTTCTGGCCAGCAGCCCCGACATCCTTGCACAAAGTAATCACAGATCACAGCATTTAATCACTGAAAACAAGCACTCCAGAGGACAGCAGTGTCAATATCCCACTCTCTCATTATCTGTTTGGATTGCACATCCACACTGTCAGATAAACAGAGTGGAAAATTAAGATTAAAAATATGGTAATTTCATTTCAGGCAGCAGGCACCACTCACTGCCCCTATTATGCTATTGATTACCTCTGAATTCAATTTTTCTTTCAATGCAAACTTTAATCTGTTTGCTACCCAGCAATTCAACTCCCCAAGGGCTATTTGAGAGTAAGTAACCATTTAATCTGATGCTAACTGAAAAATCACCGTCCTTAATGAATTGTGTAAATCATTCAGCTCTAAAGCACCTTTGACTTCTATTTCATTTTTTATTTTCTACTCAATATAGGAAAGGATCGGCGTGTGAATAATTACAAAGTAGCAAGTATTTTTACATAGAGCAAATATGATAAAAACCCTATTATAGTGGGGCATGTGTAATGAACAGTACTTTTTAATTTCAAAATAGCTATTCATTAAAAAAGAATGGAAGATTAAAAAGAGAGGCTCAAAGCTCAAGGTAAAAGTTGATAGACATTGTAATTACATGGTTAATTTCAAAGATTTATATGCTGTTATGATTTAAAAGGAATTTTTATGACCTGACATTTTCATTTGAGAAGATTTTTTATTTAAAATTAATCTTCGAGCTCCTATTCTTAATTATTTCTTGGCAAGCGATAAATGAGAATACAAAAAAAAATGCCCTATATCAAATTTTAAGCAGAATAAATGCATGCGAATTTTCGAACAGCAATAGAGTGGTTTTTACTTATTTGAATTGCTTTACATGGAAATCCTCGGTCGGCGGAATTTGCGGGAGAGAGCTGGAAATTATTGGCCCATTTAAGGGAGCAGCAATCTTACTGCAATGCAGCTTTCATGACATTTCAAAAATATCAAATTGGAGAGAGGGTTTTGCTCGGGCGATTTGATGGTCTTTCAAGTTGGCGCCGAGAGTTTTCAACAGGTCTCTCTCCACGCGGGTCCCAGGCCCGGGGGGCTCCCGGGAGGTGGGCGGTGGGGGGGGGGGGGCGGNGAGGTGGGCGGTGGGGGGGGGGGCGGACGGCTCGGCCTCGCTCTCGCCCCCCGCGCCAGCTGCAGCAGGGCACTCGCCGCCGGAGCCCCGCCGACGCCCGCGCCCCGGGGCCGCTCGGCCTGCTGCGCGGGCGCCCGGCCGGGGCTGCGCGGCCGAGGCTGGGGCGCCCGGCGGCCCAGCGCTCGGTGCTTCGGCGGCTCCCCGCAGGCTGATGACACCCCCCAGGGCGGGCCCCACAAAGTGTGGCGCTGCGGGGACAACACGGCGTGGCGCCTAGCGGGCCCGGCGCGGCCGCGGAGGGTGGCGCTCGGGGCCGGGGCCGCGCCAGGCTCTCCCTCCGCGGGCCCGCGGCCCGGGCGCCCTCGGCCTCCCTGCGCGCAATCGTGGCTGCCCGCGGGGCGCGTCCTGAAGTGTGGGGTCGAGAGCAGACCGACATATCCTTTTCTTCGCTCCGTTTGGTCCTTCCAACGCTCCACGTGGGGGGGGGGGGGCAGGGGGACTTTGCAGGCCCCGATTCCCCATCCTCACCTCCACCCTGGTTCCCCTGCAGGGTTTGGGCACGGTCCCTGGCTCCCCCTTCCGTCCTCCCACAGCACCGCGGGGCCTCTCACGGGAATGGGGGGTCCCGAGCCCTTTGGGGGGGGGGGCGCCACGAAGAGGGGGCCGCCGTCTGAAAGCAGAAGCGAGCTGGGGAGCGGAGTTAGATCGTCGAGCCCCAAGAGGAGCGAGGGTGCCCCCTCCCCAGGCGAGAAAAGGTGGGGACCCCGGCGGAGCGCCGAGCCAGGTCTCGGAACTGCCGGGCGCGCGGAGAGGGGTGGGGGCTGCAGCGCCGGCGCGGGCTCGGCTCGCTGCGCCCGTGCGTCCTGTCCCGCAGCCCTTCGGCCTCCGCGTGTGCCCGAGGGCGGCCCCGGACCCCGGCCTCCTCTGCGGCCGCCCCGGCGCCGGGAGCGCCCGCGCCGCGGCCGGGCACCCGGGCGTCCTCAAACCTGGGCTCGGGGCTCGGCAGCCACCGACGCACAGCGTCACCCTAGCATCTCCTCCGCAGCATCTCCCTTCCCCGGGGAAGGAGGGAGCGCGGGAGAAGAGAAAGGAAACTGAGAGCGCCTGAGCAAGGACATCATTTCAGCCCCGTCTGAAACACCCTTTGGCTCCATCTCCGGGTAACTTAAGAGTCTGCACAGAGCTCGGGGCTCGGGGAGGAGTCCCGGAGTGGAATGTACAAAAGTCAGCTGTGCCGGCCAAAACTGAGGTTGAAATTCTATCCTGCGCCCAGCCCTTGCTCACAAATTCTGAACTTGAGCTGATGGGTGTTATTTCAGGTCAGCCGCGGCGCTGAGCAGGCCACGGGGTAACCTGCTTGCTCGGTGCGTTCCGCCTCTTCGACCTTCAGTACCAGCCTCTTTAGCCTGCAGCGCGGTCAGGGCCCCAGATGCAGACCCTTTGGTTCACTCTGTGGATTTCCGCTCGCTCAGAGGTGTAACAACTCTGTAGGCTTTACTCTCTTCTTTATTTTTATTTTTTAAATCAGGATTAGCAAAGACTTATTTCATTCATTAGATATTTATGGAGTATCAGACACCGTGCTAGGCAGAACCCCAGTCACGGTTCAGGCAGTTTCTAAAAGCATTTTATTTCGTCGAAGGCAGTGACCGCTGCATAGCAGTGCTTAGTGTATTTTAAATGCATGCATTTCTTTCCAACTGGCTATAATAACTTCCTTAGAGTTCATCTGCACTGTACTGGCAATGGTGGGTTAAAGACAGTGATTCTACAAATGATCAATTACTAGGTACAGGCCTTAAGATGAATTAGGACCTTTTAAATATGTTTAAAATTGTTATCCTTAACTGATCATAACGCTGAGAATTCTGGTGGGGTTTTATGTAGAGTATCTTTTGCCTACACATTGATTCCCATATCGCAAGCCGACATTTTAGGAAAAAGTTTCCTTCTGCTTGCTTTCTTCCAAAATTCCAAAGGCCGTGGTATCAAAGCACCTATGAGGCAGCGCCTTTTCCAATTTTAAAATATTGAATCATATGCAAACCTCAAAGGGAAAAGAAAAGAAAAGAAAAAGCGACCCTTGTTCTGATATTTGCTCTAAAAATGCCAGGGCCAATTGGTTTTTTAGTTGTTGATTTTTGAAGGAACCCTTTCACAGACAGGAAGGTAGAATGTCAACAGGCTGGGCCATCAGCTTTGCATTTTCTCACTCTGAAAATGCGTGCAAGGCAGCCACACCTGTAAATGCAGACCTATGACAATATATGTAAATGAAATAATAAATGGCAAAACCCCTTTAAAATACTATCAGCCTGTCCTGTGTTATATGATGTGGCAAAAGCCCAGGATTATGTTCCTCCGTCTTTCTGACATCTAGTGAATTATACTGAAATCTTACCTTACTAAAGCACATGCTAATCAGCACTGAAAAACTGAAGATTTCCTATTATCACTCTACAGGTTCTTGAGTTTTTGGAATTATGTTTTATTGTTTAAATGGTCATTTTCTTCTGGTTGGATATTGGGTAGCAATCAATGAAAGAGGTTGCTCTAAGGCTTAATTCCTTTACTAGTCTCCTTCCCCACGCCACCCCGCCCCGCCCCCAGCTCCGTCCCTAGAGCACATGTCAAAAACAACCAGGCACATGAGAACATGTGACATACAAATATTACTTTCCCTCGATTAAAAAAAAAATTGAACCTTGGGAAATAAGAAGTGGCATTAAAGGAGCTACCACTTCTAGTGTAACTGTTAGAGTTAGCTGAGAAAACAAGCCCAAATACTTCTCTTGGGGAAACACT